AGCTGCTACTTGTCGTCGTCGTTCTCATAACTCTTACTTATTCAAATCTATCTGCGATTGCTAAGACACCACAATGATACATTTGTGCATGTTTCTGAAAAAATGTCTGTAATATTCAAGCTCAAAATGTTGTGATGCAGGCTGAAATCCTCTAATTTCGCCGCTATGTGGCGACAAGCAGCAACAGTGGGTTTAAGTGTGTCTGATCTGTTTGTTTCTAATCCTGTTTTAGTGTCAAACTAACTACTTTTTTAAGAAATTAATTTGAGAACAGTTCAATTAATTTGTCCCTGGTACCATTGTTCTCCTCAACAGCATTATGTGTCAGATGATCAGTGAATTTTCCTCTTCAATGTTGGTATTAGTCTGAAAATCTAAATGATTACAAAACTTCCCCCCTCCATACTCACCAGGCCTTTGCAGTTGCTTAGCGCCACTCTGCTCGTGCTGTGCTGATTTTGCAAGAATCCCACATAGTGACAGTTTTCCACCACATTGTGACGCCACTCCAGCCCTTCTTTGCCCCAGTACTCCACTGTGAAATGTTTCGACACCAAGTGGGGGTTGAGTGTCAGGTTTAAGTGAAAGTGCCTTCCGTAGGCTGACAGTCTGTAGAAGAGGCGAGACTCCGGGGGGTCCGGGTCTAACGCCGGCGGCTGTCCCATCATGGGGTCCACCGCGCCCCGTCTCCGTCGGCCCGGCCGGTGGTGCTTCACGGTGTGGCTCAGGAACTCTCCGTTCTCGTCCACCCGCACCGGGACAGCCAGCTGGTAGTGCTGCAGGTAGGACAGGGATTCCTCTTTTACAGGAGAGAGAAGAGGAGACGATGAGGTAAAGCTACGATTATTATCAACAGTTAGAATTGTTTTGTTAGCAGTAAAAATTCAAATTTGTCATATAGCTCCTGTGTAGTCTGGTTCTGCACAAGGTTTCTGCCTATAGGACACCCGCTCACCCACTCATGGCTTTATCCCTTGAACTGGAGGCCCCAGCCTCCGCCATTTACCATATGTCACCCCCCACATTGCGCTTATTTCTGACTCTTTTCATTGTGCTGTCCTCTAAATAAACACATGAAAAGGGCAAAAGTTTTTTGGTAATCTTTCAAAAGGTTTCTGCCTGACTCTTCTTGCAACTTTTGCCAAGTGATTTCTTGAAAGAACAGTCTAGGCTGGTTCTTCTTGGAAAGTGTCCTGAGATAACTTTTGTTGGGAAAGAAGTTATCTCACTGCACTTTACATGAAGAGTGGGTGTAAGCTTTACTCTTTGTACAGTCACACACACAGACACAAAACATGAATCCTAATCTTAAAAAAAACACTTCACAAAAGTTGCAAGTGAACTTCCTTTGACAGGCAGAAACCTTGAGCAGAACCGGACACATTGGTGAAGAGCCGTCTGCCTGGCCAACACTGATTGATTTGATTGATTGGTTGGTTGGTTGGTTGGTTGGTTGGTTGAGTATGTTCATACTGTTGGTGAAAAAAGGAGGATCTTTCTATCCTCCGGTCATACCCTGAGAGTTGTGTGAAAGTCTGTTGACGCTTTGAAATTCAGAAGCAGCCATCATCACCAGGCTCAGTGTCCAACTCCACAGCGTCTTCCACAAAATTTCCATTATTCAGGGGAAGCTGTGACATGGGGTGAGGGGTAGAGGGGTGCTACAAACGGGCTAAAAGCATGCGACGGGTCCGACGCCACACCATAACAAGTCCATGGTTCGTCTCCTTCACTTGAAAGTTCGGGGCGTTGCTCGAAAGGCTCATCCAGGTTCTCAGAGCTCTCCTGAGGGCGAGTGCTTCCACATCTCACTGGCCTCTGGATTCATGTCAGCAGCTCGGAGAAAACAACGTAATCCATCAGACACGGTCGCTCTCAGGTGTAACTCCAAACAGGAAGCTCTACATTGGAAGCTTGTCTTGACCGATCCATCTGCATTCCTGTGAGATAGAGAGAGAGATCAATCAGAGGATAGACGCCTCTTTTACCTCCTGGTACTAACCAAAGTGTCATCCACTGCAAAGATGAAGGGTCAAGGATCTTTTCTTAAACAAGAGAAAAACACTTTGGTTAGATAATTGATGATCATATTGTGTTATTAAGCCTAAATATGATATAGCTGGTGTTTCCAGCTTCACAATGAAAGGATGCTGATTACATTACATCACATTTCTCCGGATTTCTGACTATAAGATGGAATAAGAAAGTTTAGTGTATTAAGCGTTTTCTCAGTTTTTCAACAATTTATAAGCAATAAACTACATCCTAATGGAGAAAAAACATAATTAATACAAAAAGAAATGTGAATATAATGTTATATCTAACATACAGCTTTCCCCCCAAACAACCGGTACAAATCCAATGCTCAATATTCAGTTATGTGACCCGTCAACTAGCAGATTTTTCTCATATTACTGAAGACATTGTTAAAGATTTGTACTGGGTAAAAGAATGACTATGACCTCAAAAGTGGAAGTTTCATGAGGAATCATTCTGTTTTAGATGACTGTCAAACAGGTTAAGAAAAATGCTCATTCCAATTTTAAAGGTCCAAACATGAGCTTCTCACAATTCTTATTTTATTTGACCAACTGTGCAAAAAAAAAAAAAAACCCAATATGCTCAATGCACAATGATGAACCAACAACATGCAGCAAATCATCACGATTCTTAAAGTAAAAATCTGAATTTCTTGGGGAATATTTTGCTTTAAAGTGACTACAGCATTAACCTGTTCTCAATGACGGCTGCTGATTAATTGCTGGCTGATTTAAAAAAAAAAAAAAAAAAATCGGTAAATCTCGCAGCTTCAATGGATTAATAAAGAGTTGAAGGCATTAACTATTCCAAATGAATAATAATCCAACATACAGTTAAATATCTTTAAAATTATTTTTTTTTATGGCTCCCATTGAACACATCATCAACTTGAAGCTGCTGCATTGCCACTAAAAACACCGATTTCAGTCACATCTGCAACGTGCCAAGTAACTGACTTATTCATTTGATATTCAACCACTTGAGTGACACTTGAGTCTCTCACCAACACGAGGCTGCACAGCGTAACTGAGGCGTTATAACCCGATTTTTTTATGGATGCATTAAACATGATATCATTCGTGCACTTTGTGGGGTTTTTTTTACTCACTGACGCGCTTTCACGGCTGCATGTGCAAACAAGACGGAATATAAACAAACGTCAGTGGATTCAGGTGATAGACGGCTGCTGTGACAGGACTCCAAACCTGTGCGACAACTTTTTAGAAGTTTTCTATTTTCCTTGTGTATATTCCTTGAGTTTGTACTCCTGCTCTCCGGCACACAGACAGGCAGACAGAGCGCTACTTACTTGGCCACTCTGACCCAGACAGTTGGCAGCCGGCCCGCATGCATTATTACACCGGTACCTTTAAACACAAGCCTCACAGGGCGACCTACAAATCAGAAATAAAAGCACTCTGACATCACTGCGATGCGTTTCTGTGCTGTTTTTGCTCAACGCTTCAAGCTGTCAATGAGTTCAAAGTTACTTTGCAGAGCTGTTAACGCTGCAATCCAGTGCGTAAATGTTTCCAAAAGAAAGTAGCAAACTTTTCCACGCAAAATGCCCCCCCAAACTCTCGGCGTACACTCGCTGTGCCAAAAAATGAGCAACTAAACTGGCTAATTGCTGCTTTGTGGACAAAGTCTGGGGAGAATTGAACCGCTCACAAGCACGGAATGTGCGCCGATCAAACTACCTGGGAGAGATATCGTCCTACATTCAGAGTAAACAGATAGTTACCACGCTCATCTTCATTGTCAGATCCGGCCCAACTGTGCAGGCAGAGCTCAGGACAAAAGGCTTCTGCAGCTCTGAAGTTCCGCACACAAACCTCTGCTGCTCCTCTCCTCTTTTCATCTCCTTCTGGACTCTGCCATCCTCCTAAAAAAAAAAACTGTGAGTCTCCTCTTCCAGACCAGACACCGGAGCAGGAGCTCAGACTCAGACACTGTCACACACACACTCAGAAAAAAAAATAAAAAGACAGTTATTCAGCTTCTCAAAGTGCTGGATTTGTTCCAGCAGAAGGGTCTATTTTCAGCCTATCTGTCGTCTTTATAATCTAGACTTTGTGTTGTGGCTCAGAGGGGCTTAAAAAGTTAGTTGAGGTTGCAGGAGGTGTTCTGCCCCCTCAGGAAGCCGCCACAGCTCTGCTTTTTTAAGAAAAGTGCATGCAAACAGCAGCTAAAGTTGGCCTGGAGCTGCTCCTCCTCACTACACTGCACAGAGAGAGAGAGAGAGAGGGGGGGGGGGGGGGAGAGAGAGAGAGAGAGAAAGACCGGGTCTGTCCCCGTCCGGACAGCTTCAAATTGGCAGCTTTTTCGCAGAGGGTGACGTCAGTGCAGATGTGCCTCTTCATCAGCTGTGCGCATGTCTATCTGCCCTGAAATAACACGAGCTCACACTCAGTTCTGCTCTGTTACCCCCTCAAGACAATCTGAGGGGTGTAAAGAGAGATAGATAGATAGATAGATAGATTTTTCAACCAATTTAAATTATGTAGGGGAAAAGGGTATAAAGTAATGTTAAATATACATTCTTGAGTAGGGTAAAGACCTATATGTAACTCAAATTTCCATTTCGAAAAGTACTTCATTTTACCGTAACACTTTCCAGCTGTGTAAAAATGTGTTTTTTTTCTTCTTCTTTCCTCTCTTCATCAATCATCTCACGACCCCTCAGATCCATCCCGTGGCTGTTTGGAGGGACAAGACCCCAAAGTTGGGAACCACTGGACAACATAAAGCAACATGTGTCTACAAAATGAATGTATCATTATAGAAACAAACTAATAACTTTTCCCCTTTTTCTACAGAATAATGTCGATACTTTAAGTTCATTTTGCAGATGCTACTTCTTTTCTGTTACTTTTTATCTCTTTTTAATGATGAACTAATTTTAATAAGGGATCTGAGTGAGAAAAGGTACTAATCATGGAGAAGACTACATTACACCATTTTGGATTGGAAAATCTTTATTGTCCCCGAGGGGCAATTTAGTTTGCAACAGAGGTTCATACGGGCAATACACGTCAGAAAAACAGCAGAAAAACTGAAATACATACATATAAAACATAACTCCCATTGATATCATCATGATGGACGTGAGGGAGATAAGAGACACAAAGACAACAATGCATACAGCTTATATTAAATCCCAACTGCTGATAAATGCTGAAATGTCCTCAGATATCAGTTTGATTTGTCCCTCCTGATATAAGTGAACCTCCTCCCTGTTGGCAAGAGTCTAAACTCTGCATGCGGAGGGTGCTGAGGGTCTCCCAGGATGGCCTTTGCCTTCTTAGTGGCTCTTTTTTGAAAAATATGGCCAAGATCATTCAAGACAATCTTCCTGCACAAGACTCTATGTTTTAGGTATTATGATGAAGGTTCAAGGTTCAACGTTGTCTTCGTCATCCCTGTGAGAGGGACATTTGTTTTGCAGTCAGCAGTAAAAACATACATACAGCCAATACAACATAAGAAGGACACTAAGAAGTTAAGTTCCAATGGACAATAAATGCAATAGATAGAAACAGGTGAAAAAGCAACACCATTAGTCGTTTCAAAAAGGCGATGGCAGCAGGGACAAATGAAGACCTTTGTCTCTGTGTCCTACATGCTGTCACGCTGAATCTGCGGCCGGACAGAAGCAACTTAAACTCCTCGGACAAAGGAGGACTGTGATCTGCCAGGATTGACCGGGTCTTCTTCAAAGTCTTTACTTTATACAGGTGTGATGATGTGTGTAACATACATGTTAGAGCAAGTCAAGGAATAGCGACTTATAACCGTTTTTTATGTGATTGGGTTGACATAATGCAACATATTAAAACTGTAATGATCACGTTGGAATGTTAAATCTTAACTGGAAAATAATCCACAGCTTTGTGTAGTTAAAAAAGTTAAAAATGTACTCCTGCCGATGTCGTCAAATAATCAACAGCCTTTCAGCTGTACTCGAGTCAAAGTGCTTTCTAATTAATAATCTGCACTTCACTGTTGGTAGACAGTGAGACTGAGATGTGTCCTATGTTAGATGATCACCCAGCAACCACAAACATCAACAAGAATCAATATCAGAAAAGAGAGAACACATTCTGACGTCTGTTTGGCACCAACTTCAATTAAACTTGTGAAAAGTGCTGTGGGGCTCAAATGAAACATGCACACGTTTGTCTGATTTTACTTCAACCCTGATTTATCCTGAAAAAAACATCAAAGACATCTCATCTCAGACTCTGAAAAGATACATTTATGGTTTGCCATGAACACTTTGAATTCAAAGTTTGATGTCTAAATGTGTGGATCTGCTCAGTTTGGGTGAAAGTCTTTCAGGGGGTCTGCTCTGCTGTGCAGTGGAGTTTAATGGTAACCTTGTGTGTTTTTTGGTGTAATTTAGCCCACGTCTATCTTTAGTCTGTAGGAAATTGAAAATCATACCTATTCCTCGAGTTCCAGTTACAGCTGCTCATTATGTAGGAGCCCATATGATTACAGTCAGCTCGTCATTACATGCTCCCCTTCACAGCAGCCTCAGGAGGTGACAGCTTGGGTTTTACCTTTTTATTTTTTGGGAAGCAGCGCCATCTTGTGTCTGGAAGGAGCATAGCAAGGATTTTTAAATATTTGAAGATTTTTCTTTGATCAAACATATTTTCATATATTTCTCATTTTAAACAAAACACAAAGGCAGTGGTATAGAAAAATGAAGCAAATCTTCCCTTTAAATGATGGGTTACTATGGCAACGTTAAATTAATGATTATGAAAAAGGTGTGACTCTAGCTTTTGTGTAGTTACAGTAAGCATGGTGTGGCGTTGAGCTTAACTTTAATATAGTCTACAAAGGGTTTTCTGTTTTCTCTCAGATTTATCATACGAGTCATGTATTGGTAACTTTCTGTTTTTCAAGATTGAGGAGTTGCGTCACATCTCTCAGCCAAGATTTTACAAGGAAAACAAAATGATAAAACAACATTTATGTAAGAGGGCAAATGACTCAGAGTATTCTTTGAATTTGTTGTGAGTCATAACAAGGTGTGTCAGCTGTATAACTTTCATACTCCAGATTTGTTTTATAGGAAAAGCGCATGATAAAGTTTGTTCATTTTAGTAGGAAGAAGATGCATTCAGATTTGATAGTTGAATTAAAGTAGCAGCTGCCCCATGAAAAAAATACTCAAGTGATTGGATGCATGTTTAAGAAGTATGCAACAGATTAAATGTTACTTGTACTTGGGGATCGTAGAGTTATTAGTTAGTTTTTTCATCAAAAGGCATCGGGCTTTCTGGATTTTTTGTACATTTTGTTTCATAATAGAGTCTTATTGCGCCTCAACACAAGTAGCTTTACCATGCCGGATTCCTTTTAGCTTATGAATGACTTATTGGACATATAAAGGGAATTTAAATACTCAGTTGCCAGTTATTAGGGGCACAGAGCTAAATAATGTCATTCTTATAGTGTCAGTCTCTAGCTACTCTGGGTGGTCATGTATCTGGGCGTACAATAATTACATGTTGGGGTCCCCCAAGGGTCTATTCTTGGGCCTCTCCTCTTTAATATTTATATGCTCCCTCTTGCTTGGATCATGAAATCCTATAGCATGTTTTAACATTCACATGCCAACGACACACAGCTTTATTTAAGCGTCTCACCGCATGATATAAGTCGCATTGATAACTTGGTTAACTGGATTGAACACATTAAATCCTGGACGTGTGAATTTTTGTTTACAATTGAACATTTTTAAATAATTCTATTTAGGCCTAAACAGGAGCGATCAAGAGTCAGTGCTCATTTAGAATCAATCTCACTGAAATGGAAACATCAAGTAATAAATCTGGGAGTTGATTTGGACTGTTGGAATCTTGCTAATCTTTTTTTTTTTTTTTTACCTCACCTTGTGTGAAGCAAATTGAATTGCCTGGTGAAAGGTGCTGTAAAAACAAACTTGCTTTTCCTTGTCTAATAGAGCAGAGCTTTCAATAAATCTTACTTTCATAAAGGTTATAATGTTAAAAAATGATTTAAAGAGGTAGTGATCCAACTATTTTCTTATTTTAGAGGCTGCAGTTTCTTTTTGTTACTGAACGCTAACTATTGCAAAACTATTATAATAACATTGCAGTGTCTTTAATTTCCTTTCAACCATATATAGCCTACCGGTACTTGAGATAAATCAACATTATTGGGCTACATATAACAACACTGAGCCACATGAGACTACAGAAAACTTAACAAGATAACAAGACTACAGGCAAAGTGTGCACCCACAAAACAACATAAAAGTCAAGAAATCATACGTCCTACTTTCTGCCTGTTTTATACTCATGTGGAAAAGCCCTTCTACCAACGTTGTCGAGTCTTACCTGCTGATCTATCTGAACTTTGATGAACATTTATCCTAAATGTAGTCATTCAGGTAAGGGGTTAAGGTAAGTTGGAGGGTAGGCTACACCCTTGGAGCCATGCCCGTGATTAGATGACACGGGTTAATTATTTATGACCATAAAAATACCCTAAGAGCAGATTTATTTTATTGATTAGATTGGAAATTTATGTTTTTACACTCTTTAAGTCACGCAACCAAGGGGCAACCTCCGGTCTCGAAAAATGAAGCCTATGCGGAAGTACAAAAAACTGCAGTTCCTCGAGGTTCCGCTTGAGGCTGGCTGCAGAAGCGCCGGAAGTGCCATAAGCCCACAGCCAAAAAAGCCTGTTTTTACCACAGGAATCAACATGTTTACAGCCTGGTTCAAAAAACGAGATATATCTGAGAAGTTGACGGCCCCTTCTCCTCACACTGTGGGGGGGTGAATTTTTTTTATAACTCATCGGATTTTATTCTATTAAGGAAAACGACTATGCCCATATTTGGTTGTGTCAGATTTGATTGACAGCTCTGTCAGGAGGTCAGGAGGCTAACAGCTTGATCCGTCTGATTTCTCCTCTTTTTTACTTCGTTTGGAGAGTTTGTTTAACACATATCTGACAACATACATGGCTTGCTGTGCGGTTAACAGACCATCCAACAAGTTGATGCTTCAGTTTTCTTCGGTAAGTGATATAGTAGTGTTATATTTACTGCTTACTCAGTGTCGGTATTTATATTTACGGACCTAGCTTGTTTAGCATTAGCTTGTCGGCTAACTGTGTAGCTCATTATTTACAGTCAATGGTTTAGAAATGTTTGTTGTTAAGATGTTGAAAATGAGTTTGTGTGATGTTAGAAGCTAAAGGTTCATCTCGGTGGTTAACCACAGACTGTAAATATGGTTATCTGACGTTATGATGAATGTTTTACTCCACGTAAATGTGGACATTAAAAAACTTTGTGTAGTAATTATCCGTCAGTAACATAAACTGAACTGAACCTAATGTGCTGTGTAGGTTATAGAGGATGACATTAAAGTTACATGGTTGATGTAGTGTCTTAAGATTTGAGCAAACTGTTAACAAATTTTAAAAAATGCACTTTGTAAGAGCATCTGTAACCATTAAGAACTATATTAATAACCATATTCATTTTCACTGAACTCATACACAGAATATAGCTGTAGAAATATAAAATATAAATAACATATGGAATGAAAATAAGATATAAAGCACATAGATATAAAGTATAAGAAATAGTTTGAAGAATACAGCCATGTACTGAGCTCATGTTAATAATAAATGAGTTACTGTATGTTCTGTACTAAAGCACAGAGAGTTGGGACCTGTTAATGATTTAAATAATTCAGGTTATATTTGTTTCATGTTAAGATGAAGTACTATCCGCAATAAACTGCTTAATTTTTCCTCACCCAAAATCTGAGACAATTTGATGTGGAATATCATTGTGTGAGTGAGAGAGCTGAAAACAGCACGATTACAATAATGTTTATCTTCTTAACTTTGAATAGATGTTGATCCTGTACCTGAATACTGGACCTTTGTTGTCTGGGTAGTACACTGTTGAATTTATAAATGTGCTCTTACACACAGATGAATACAGAAAAATAGATGAGAACAAACTAAATGTTTTAATGAAACTCTTTCTTTGCCATCCTGAAGACCTCTCACTAAAAGTCCATGTTCTCCTGGATCCATGTCACATGGCTTCTTCTGAATGACTTTTCAACAGTCAAAGTTTTGCTGAGAGAAGATGGCCAGCAGATAAGACAGCAGAACATCAACGAGCTCCACAGGCTTCAGGAGGAGGAGGAGGGTTTGCACCTTGGAAGACTGTATTCATGCTGTTCAAATAAAAATAGATCTCCTCCAAACAACTTGCAATCAAACTATTTTCTTCCCATTTTAAAACCCTTTGTCCAGTTTAGATGGGAGAAGTTGATATTATGTGATATTAATCAGGGAAGACTACATTTCTAAATCATTTTTAACTGTGTTTTTATTCACAAGTTATTGATCTTATTTACTCTCCATGTATCTTGATTTAAGAATGGGGCTTCTTGTTTAAGGTCATCATTTTGCAATGACTCTGTTCCATCCCACTTTCAGAAATGAACTACATTAGTATTTGGTAAAAGAAAATGCCGAAAGAATAAGAAGTTGTGTAAAAGTAGACTTCCTTCCCTAAGCTATTGAGTTGAGCATTAATGCACATTTTAGTCTTGTCATTTCAAATCTGAAATGTATACTTATAAGTAGACATAAAGGAGTGCATTTATATAGAAATATTTATTTAATCTGAAAAACAACATTAAAAAAAGTCTGTTTTTACAGCAGAGATGAACATGTTTACAGCTTGGTACAAAACAAACAAATAGGTGTGATTAGCTCATGTCTCGATGGACACACACTGTACGGGGGGGGATGTTTTGATGACTCATCAGTTTTGATTTGATGAAGGATAAGAGTTATTCACGATAAGGCGTGTAGCTGACCAGCTTGACAGGTGGGTGCGGTGTAATGGTTTGTCAAGAGGTTTAAAACACGCCTCAGCTCCAGCTCTCAGCCTGTGGGTGACATCACTCAGACCTCCCTCACAGCGAGCTGTTGAAGAGAAGCAACTGAAGTCCACCCCAGAAGAACCAACACATACAGATGTTGTTGAGGCTCAGGTTTCTTCCTCTGTCTCTGTCACCAATAATCCACACTGTGTCTATAGGAGAAATACAAAGGTGTTCAATTAATGCCTCAGACAAAACAAAATGTACAGTTAACTACATGTGACAGCTCAGGCTGTTTTTTTGTTATGAGCCACATCTGCAGGAATAATATTGAACAAGGTAGCTGCAACTCATAATAATTGATGCCAGTCTTCAACACTATTTTTTCTAATCCTTAAAGTTTTTGGTGTGAAGCTGACACTGTCCACAGACTTCATGACTTCACGGGGTTCAATAGAAAACAAATATCTTATAAAAATACTAAATAATTATTTTTCAATTGTCATGTTCACCTCATCGCTGTTGACATCAGTAAATATAAGACACAGACATTCCTCTTTTTGTCAGAACAGTAACATGAACTGTATGCTTTGTAATATTAATTTCTTCTGGATGTCTCATTTATTTACAGTTTATGGATAAAACTTTGTTAATGTATTTCTCTGCTAACCCTGACAAAGTCTAACTGCTCTGACAAATAACTAATAAACATAGTTGTATATTTAAAAAAGTGTAGTTTTAAGACTTTAATTAAATATTTGGGTTGGATATAATTAGTTTTAACTGTGTTGTAGAAAAGTTAAATGTTAACTTACTGTTTGTAACACTTGAACCGGCGACTCTCTGGTTCCCAGCCCAAGTCCCTACAGACTGAGCTACTGCCGCCATTGTTGTTGGCTGTCTAAATATTTATGACATATAAAAACAATCAATCTTACTTTTTACTTTTTTACTGGCCGGGAAGCAATTAAGAAAACACTAATTACAGCTGTGAAGATTTAGGCTATCTTTTAAATGTAGTGTAAAAGTAATCAGTCCTACTGCTAGCTGATATTCTTTGTTACACTAAATTAATGTAATAAAAGTTGAGATGTCTAAAATATGTATTACTGACCTCATTCTGTAGACATGTGGTCTGTGCTTCACCGTTTTATCAAGCAGCGAGTAGCTCTGCTAGCTTAAATTCATTACATGAAAATGTTGCAAACCATGTATGTACATTATACCTAGCAAGTTTCACATAAAAAATACTTAAATCATTTTAGATCCATTTGGTGTTAAAGTAGAATATTGCTTTATTAAGTTTTACATAGATTTAAACCATTTAATGTGTGTATTTTTAACACCCAGCATGTAGCGGTTAACTTTTTTGTTGTACTAATGCTAGCTCACAGACAGACGGTAGTTTCTTATTTAAACGTATAGTAGTAAAACAATTTGGGAGCAATACTGTTAAGAGAGAATATCATGTTGATGAGTTTTAACATTACATTGTATGTTGACCATTTAATGTTTGCATTGCATAGTATTTATTTGATGTTGAGCTGAAGTTTATCTGTGGTTCTTTTGGGGAGGCCAGTAAGGAGTGCATTACAGTCATCAAGTCTGCTTGAAATAAAGGCATGGACCAGCTTTTCAGCGTCCGTTTGATCTATAAATGTCTCAACTAAGAATGTACAATGCAGTTTTTTTTTCTGTTATTAGATCGTTAATTAAAAAAGACTTGTTGGTCAACGATCTGACATTTAAGAGAGCTACTTTCAGTTGTAAGGACTTCTCCACACCAAGTGAGGCTGGTCTTGGTTGAACAATGATAGGTCGAAGGTTGCATTACAGATTCTTCAAATTTCAAGTTTCATCAACATTTTCTAGTTTCATTTGTCCACCAGTTTTCACTTGTAACCATGAGATTAAACCTTTTATGTTTGTGTGACAGAGTGTTCCCTGAAATAACAGAAGTACAAAGGAGAAGTATACTAAACAGTTGAGCTTGAGTGCAGTGAGTAGGTGTGTTTGTGACCTTATCTGGAAGTGCTTTGGGAGGGAGTTATAGTGATAGGGTCTCCCAACAGACTAGTCACCTGCTTCGATAGGCAATAAAACCTTATCCTGCTGCTGCTGCCACCGCACTCAATCTGACATCCAGGAAATTATCTGCCACTGTCCTTCAACTTCACAAGCATCAGGTAAGATTTTTCTACTAATAACCAAACTTTTGTCCTTGTTGTTTGATGCTGAAAAGAGGTGTACTTTATATTTTTCTCTGCTTGGAAAATACAGAAGTAATGGCCATCAATAAGTCCCCGAGCTTCCGTATTAAGTGAAACAAAGACTACTGATAAGGAACATTAGTAAAAAGAAGAAGCTTTTATCCCCACAGTGATTTACCGTGATCATGGCTGTGAGAAATCAACCCAAACCATATCAGGCCTCTGAATTCCAGACCAGCGTGTTTGATTGCTGCGACGACTGTGGAACCTGTGAGCACTCATCTTTACTGGGAAATCTGATATCCCAAAGTTAAGACCACATCTGTATGCAAGAATTTCTCCTTTTTTTTTTCTTAATGCATTTCTTCCCCCCCCCCCCTACATCAGGCTGTTATGGATTGTGCTGCTACTTGTGCCTCGGTTGCAGCATCGCCAGTGACATGGGCGAGTGCTGCCTGTGCGGTCTGGGCATGCCCATCCGCAGCGTCTACAGGACCAAATACAACATCAATGTAAGTTTGCAGAGCAAATATGGAGCTGGGTGACTTCAGGTCAAAGCAGTAAAGAAGCCACTTTATAGATGAGTATTAATGCATCGTATAGTTCTTCCATTAGTGGTGTTTATACCTACTGAAATGTTAAGGAAGATTTCAGTGCTCGAGAATGAAGTTTACATATTTTTAATTAAGCGGGACTTTCAGAATTAGTTCAAGGAATAAAAAGAAAAATGGGAAGAGGAACATCTCTTTTTTTACTTTTCTAATTGAGAATGAAAAATGAAAAAGTCACAAAGCAGAAAAAAAAATGTAAATAAGAGTTTAAGGATAGAGAAATACATGTGTCAAGAATTAATTCATAATGTTGATCAAAGTTACAACAAAAGTTGAGACTGTAGAGAGAATAAGTGCAACGTGTGTGGTGTCGCAGTTTGAGGAAGATCTTTTTTTTTCCCGCCTGCTACAGTTGACATGATGAGAATAAAGTCAGACTAGAAGTGTGAGAGCCAGGTACAATATAGCCTTGTTTTCATTTTAAGAATAAAGTGTGGAAAAACTTAAACTGAACAGAATAAATTCACAAAGTTGAGACGATGTCAGAGCAGGAAGTTAGTTGGACTCCATAGAAGGAGATTTAGATGTGATGAAATGTGCCTTTCATCATCGCTGCGCCTTCTTAGGTTTTCTTTTTCATGATTTCAGGGCTCCATGTGTAATGACTTTATGGTGACCTGGTGCTGTTCGGTCTGCGCCACCTGCCAACTCAAGAGAGACATTGACCGCAGGAAGGAGCAGGGGATCTTCTGATTGGGTAAGCTGCTTGGAAAACACTTGGATGTACTATTTCACAGTGTGTTACGTTGTCTTACTGAGCTGTTAAATGATGGAGAATAACGTAAGCTTTTTTTATTTTCTCTTTCTAGATTCTACGACACAAGAAAAGTCTGCTTGAAATGCTCTCGTAAAGATTTGCAAATGAAGTCTTATATTTGAATTAATTTAACTGAGTATGTTTGTTTTTTATGTCAACTTTGACCCAATGAGGACAATAAGAATGTCATTCATAAAGTTAAATATTAGCTTTCAGCAGCACACCTTGAGGGTGGAGAACAGCAGTATGATTTAGTGTGATTGCTATAAAAAACTCTTTTTTTCTTCTATAATCAGCCGACAGGATGTGGACACGAGTTCTGTTGACTTTCATTGCGAAATCAAGTCGTTAAGTTCATGTTTCTGTTATGGGAAAAAACCACATGACAGGAGACAGCATTTCCCAATTCCTCAAATGGTTTTCCAACAGTTCTTGTTTCCTTTGTTAACATCCGTTTGACAGTTGAACTATTGAACTGTTTTTTAAATTCATCTGATGATCTTCTGACATGGTTACTAATTGTTATGTTTTTTTTTTAATGTCATCTTTAATAAAATGATTTTAATAAGTTAAAAAAAGTTTGTTCCCGCTCTCTACTTTATTTTGGATCTGTTGTAGAGTTTGGGATATTACATGTTGCTGTTTGATTACGACCAGTTTTCTTATTGACTGCACTGGAAGCTCTAAGTACAGCAAGGTAAGGAGGAACTAACAGGGGGATGTTAGTTTATGGAGTTCTGTGCTTTGTTAATAAGTGCTCGACTGATATTAGCGTATCCAGTGACTATCGCTATCAGCTAGTTTTATCGCAGATATGCGCCGATATTACTAGGCTTATTTACCAGTCAAATAGCATTTCATGTGAGTTTCACTGGATTACACTAGCACTTCTCTGTCATCCAGCAGAGTATGATGTATGAATTACAACAAGCATCATCACTCTCTAGAGAGTAAAGCGGTGATGAACGTAAATGCAGTTACTTTCCAGTTTAGTGACCATCTTGTCTTTGTAATAAATCTTTTCCACAAGTTTTTGATAACTAAATTTGAGGGAACAACACAAAGCATGTTTTTTATTTTATTTTATTTTTTTATTTTGGGCTTTTCGTGCCTTTAATGCAGAGAGAGGACAGTGGATAGAGTCGGAAACCAGGGAGAGAGAGCGGGGAATGACATGCAGAAAGGGGCCACGGGTGGAAGTGAACCCAGGCCTACTGCTTGAGATGAGAGTCTCAACACATGGGACGCGCGCCCTAACCATTGCACCACCAGCGCAAAGCATGTTTGAATATCTATCTATATCTATCTCTACAGATCGAACATAGATCTAAGAAAGATATCGGCCGATATATCAGTATCAGATATTCGATATCGACCCCAAAAACCTTCATATCGGTCGGGCCTTATTTATAATTAATGTCTTGTTAGAGGGGAATATTAAACAAGATTCTTCTTTCTGTATCTTTTTATTCAAGTTAGACTGCTAGCAGTCGTAACAATGGAATTGATACACAACGTGCTGTCTGTGTTTTTATATGTTGCTTAAATGACCTGTGTGTAATGTTACAATGTCTATTAGTTTGATCCTTCGATGTTGTTTCGATCTTTACATTTTTAACTAACGTCCAAGGTCTTCCGAGTACTTGAAAAACGCTTTATAAATGAAATGTAAGAGTGAGTGTGCAAGCAAGAGAACACATTGTATCCGTTCAATGGACAGAGGACAGAAATTAATTTCCCATTCAAGAACTTCCCATAATCATCTTAAGTTCTGCAATTTTACACAATGTCAAAAACATCTGATTTTTTTAAGTGCACAACTTTCTAGTCAAAGGAAATCAATAAGAAAAATGCTGCTCGATAAAAATCCTGCCTTGCAATACTTTGTCTTGTGAATGCTAATATGAAGTTGTACCATTTTATTTAAGAGTAACACATCAGAAAACAGACTTGAATGAGACGACCAAGAGGCTGAACACTTTCTTACATTTGAATTTAATTCTTTTTGAGGAAATTTTATAAATGTGGAGCGAGCAGGTTTACGTGACCCCATAAATCAAGAACCATTAAACAGATATTGCTGCGTCATTTAAAACACACGAGTGTGCTGGAACTGACAAGCTGAAACAAACCAATCAGATCATTTTGTTCACCTCTTTCTGACCTTACTGCACGTCAACTATCTGAATCATCGTATTCAAACGTATAACATGCCATGTAAATATCATAAAGTCACACCTAAATGATACGTAATGCCCCTCCTCTTCTTCCAGCTATGCCTGACAAAGATCTAAAATATCGAGACACGTTGGAGAGGATTCCCAGTGGACAAGAGTAATAAAAGTGTTCTTTGAAAACTCTAATCAGTGATCCAGAACTTCCTCGTGGGCGTTTCTATCAGTGGTGATGTTTTTGACCAGGAAGACGACACTAAAGGGCAGACTGAGGGAGCAGGATATTTGTTTAGAAGGGGTGGGGATGTTTACTGGGTCATCTGGGTCTCCATGGCCTGTGCGGCCCACTCCGGAGCGGCCGACCGGATCTTTTCTAACAGGTTGTTGACTTGGAAACAAAGAGACTGGATCTGTTTGTCCCAGGTAGGAAGAGGTTCACGAGCTGCCGGAGATAAGAAATCAAATTAGAAACCAGAACATCTTTTCATTTTACATTTTATTATAGGCAAACAAGAAAATTTGCATGTATAAAATACACATGAAACCATAAATGACTGCTCTATGACAGCACTTCCCCTTTCGATAAAACAGTCAAATAATAAAACAGTAAAATAATAAGACAGACAGCAACACCTCTCACCCAACACAGACTCTCAGCTGTGAAATTTGCTTTTTTACTTCCTTTATATTTGCCATGCACCTTAACAGCCTCTGCTTTATCTGCTCTCACGCACTACATCACTTTATTCTATCCATTTTATTTCAGTATTCATACAGTTCTGGTTACTTTATTCCTGTTGTTTCTTATCCATCATTGCACTATGGTCACTTTATTTATCTCTTTATTACCTTTACAGTTATATTGTTTATATTAGTTCTGTTGTTCCATTATTCACCATGCACCTTAATAACTTATCATTTAGTATTTAGCCTACTTGCACACAGCTCTGTATATATATATTTATTAATGCACATAGTTCTGGTTACATCTGGTCACTACTGCACATAGTTCTGGTTACATCTGGTCACTACTGCACATAGTTCTGGTTACATCTGGTCACTACTGCACATAGTTCTGGTTACATCTGGTCACTACTGCACATAGTTCTGTTTACATCTGGTCACTACTGCACATAGTTCTGGTTACATCTGGTCACTACTGCACATAGTTCTGGTTACATCTGGTCACTACTGCACATAGTTCTGGTTACATCTGGTCACTACTGCACATAGTTCTGGTTACATCTGTTTTTCATCTGTTAGTCCGATCACTGTCCACTTATATCTACTCTTTTTATATTTTGTATTTTAAGTTTAAGCTTTAAGTTGTATTTAAATTGACACTTTATATTTAGGTTAAAATGTTTCGTTTACTTGCACTGTTGTTAATTTACTGCTCTGTGTGCCTTTGAATTGCCCCCCGGGGACAAATAAAGTTTTTTTGAATTGAATTGAATTGAAAATGCCTTGTTGTTTTATGTCATTTTTTTTCTATTTGTAGACGCTGCCCTCTACTGGCCGCAGATTATTATACAAATATCCTAATATAAAGAAATTGAAACAGCTTTCACTGATCACATTAAAGCATAAATATTAACTCAAACAAAAGTTCTATAAAGATTTCAAAACATAGGGAGGGTTGACTCGCATTTCAAAACATAAATAAAATAACAGAAGCCATGTGGCTGATAGAGCAACCTGTCAAGTTACTGTTTCAGTGTAATATGTGGGAACTTGGGTCAAAGAAGGAAAATCACAGCTGATAATGACGCAGCTTAACTATGACGTAACTGTCATGTCAGATTAAAACGTGTACTTAAGATCAGATGTTGCTTAAAAAAAACATTGGATATGGTAACTCACTCTCAAAATGTACGATGCTGTCTATCTGGTCGATGAAGCCGTTCATGCGTCCTTCAGTGATCATCTGAGAAGCTATTTTCTCAGCCTGAGGACAACAAAGGAAACAAACATTTCAGTGGATTATGAGATATGAAAAGCTACACAATCCCCATATGTAAAGCTACAAAGAATATTTCACACAAACCAAAATTGTACAAGTACAATAATTCAATAATAAAGAAAAAAGTATGATTCAATAACTAACAACGTCCTCAATAGAAAGCTGTATGACCTCCAGTAATATTCCTGGAAACATAACAGTTTTATACTGCTGCGGTAGTCAACTGTTTGACTCTTAATTTGTTTTACAAGAACATACAGTTAAGTCATTTCAAAGTATTTCTTTGCAGAAAACTCTAAAAGTTAAAACTAGGTAAAAAAAAAAAAAAGAATCTAGAGACATTGTCACCTTAGCCGGAGGGATTTCCAAAAGTGCTCCTAGTTCTTCAAAAGTGATGTTGTTGTAGAGTTTGCTAGCAGACAGGAGGTTGTGTTCAATCACAGCTCTGTCAAGAATGCTGGAGCCTGAGAAAACACACTTCAGTTACATTCATGCTCATTTTTGTCATTTTGTGTTGTATGTAAATCCTCAGAATCAGAATGTTGGAAACATGTACTTTGTGCATTTAAAGGTTCACGCCGTGTAAAGCTAAATATCTTTCAGAGTGTGTTTCTGAAACAGCGCAGTAACAAAGCTCTGCCATCGTTATGCCTTTGTACCTTCATTTTGATTCTGTAATGGCAATATATTGGTGTCCCAGTCTATGATTTCACATTGCATTACAGTGATGGGAAGCATGAGAGAGCACAGAGTCAGACTGCTCTCCCTGCTGTTCCCTTCTGAAGCCAGCACAGAGGTGTAATCACTTTATTCCCCCTTTACACCTCTTTGCCACACACAGTGAAGTTGAAACGTCACAGGGGCCATGAATTGGCAGTCTGAATCGGGCTCCTAACTCACCATCTGCTGTGGTGGCTTTCTGGTGAGGCATCAGCATAGCAGCAAATTCCTGTAGCTGGTTTCCTCTGATAATACGGTCCAGATACATCTTTTCAAGGATGCCGTAAGCAGCCAGCTGCTGACAGCGCTCATCCTTAAACAGAGTCGCCAACATCCGGGAACGCTGCTGGCCTAAAACAAATGACGATATTTTTGTATGAGACAAACAGATCTGAACTATTTGGATGATCTTTGAAAACCTAAACACGTTTGTGTTACCTGCAGAGGCGAGTATGGTGCAGTTCAGGGCATGTTTCAGTGCCTCCAGACGTTCAGTCTCGTGGACAATTGACTTATAAGACAGCTCGTTGTACCTTTGTGCAGCTTCAATAAACTTCCTCCTAAAATCCAGAACTCTTGCATAGCACACCTAAGAGGATGAACAATATGAAACACTGAGCCAGACACTACAGATATCATCTACTGCTCCATAAGTCTCCATGATGTTTCATTTTTGCTCAGTCTGATGAGTACAACCAATCTACAACCTTGGACTGCGAAATCACATGAGGGTTGAATACCTTATAGTGTATCTGCAGCTGTTCATTTGAGGACTCATTCTGGAGTAATGAGGCTCTGTTGATGTAGGCCTCTGCCTGCACTGGATCATCATCCTCTAAGTAGAGCCGTGCAATTTTCAGGTATGTATCCAACTTATAGTCAACATTGTATTGCCTAAAAAAGGAGACAAAAGCATTTATAGACCTGGAAATATATCACAAACATTTAGAAAAGCTACTAGCAGCTTACTTACTTCTGTCCTGTTTCCAGGGGAATACCAACTAAAACCTGGGCAGCATTTCTCCAGTCTCCTTCCTTTTCATAAATGGTTGCTAAGTGCTGTCTTATTGAGGCTACCTGAGAAAAGAAAACAACATCATTTTAAAACTATTAAAGTTCAATAACAGTTATTTACTGAGCGGATTCAATGATCAACAGCACATTCAGAGAGTAGGAAACTGTGAGAGTAGTTACTTGTTCCTCAAAGGAGATGACCCTTGGCTGAATCTTTTCCAAGGTAAAGTGGTACACTGCTTTAGCTGTGGCATCAGGCAAGTTGGGCAGGTGTGTACAGAAGTCAGTGAGCAGCTGCCTCGAGATGACGAGACTGACATTTTCATTGACCACTGTGAAAGACAGATACAAATACTTATGGTCACTTACGGTAATACTTATCATAACCTGTTAACATCCAGATGTTCTAAAACATTTAAAAAAAAAGGTGATAAGAAAGCAGGCGCTGCATACTTGCTTCAACAAAGGCCTTCAAGGATTCCAGTTGCTCTGCATCTGTAAACTGTATGGCCTTGTCCAAAATTTGTCGATATCTGGAAACGATATTTTGGATTAGAAAGAACAATCATTTTCAAGATGCAACTAAAAAATGAAATTAAAGGCTGATGTTCTGCAACAACCTCCAGTACAAACAAAACAACAACAAATTGACAGCCTTTGTTGAGCCATTGAGGAAGTTAGTGAGTTTAAATTCTTAGGACTCATTTTAGATCCACAACTCAAGTTTGCTAAACACGTAAATAAAATCCCAAAAACAATCAAGAACAAGCTGAACTGCTTTAAATGAATAAGACACTACATATCAACTCAAGCAGCACAGGTGTTCATGCATTCAATCATTTTCTCTCATTTCTCATACTGTATGACAGTTTGGTCACAAGCTTCACCCTCTACAATCAGAAACCTCTCATCACTATAAAACCCTGAAAAGAATGGACAAAAAAAACCTGTCCGGTGGCATCGCTGTCACATACTGAAAAAACACAATCTACTGAGTTTTGAGAGCTTTTATGCATTTATGTTTCCTCAAACTTGTTTTTAAATGTATCAACAATCTGGCCCCTGAACCTCTCTCCAGATGTGTTCAAAGACAGGACGGAAACAGGGTAACGAGAAGCACTGTGAATGGAGACTGTAGCGTACAACATCGTAGGTCTACGTTTGGTCAATCAGCCTTCTCCTTCTCTGTAAACTCTGGAACACATTAAACACCTGAAATAAAATTAATCTCGGACTTAAATGTGTCTGTTTGTAAAATTGTCTATTTATTTACTGAGTCACTGCAATTTAACTTAAACTGCCTATTTATTTATTTATTTATTCATTCATCCAGTCACTGCACAATAATAACTGTATATACTCTGTCACTGCACTAGAACTTCACTTATTTGCACCATATCTCTATATTTATATTTGTTTAATTAATCAGTCACTGCAAAATAATAACTGTATATATTCTCTCAGTCACCACAACTGTCTATTTATTTATTATTATTATCATTGCAATTTCTTTGGCCACTTTTTGCATACTTCTCTCTCACATCACCACAAATATATTGTTGTTGTTGTTTTTGTAAACGCTGCTGTTGAAGATTGCTGCTAACAAAGTTTCGTTGTGTCCTTGTATACAATGATAATAAAGATTCTATCGATCTATCTAAAATCTTTTGCAAAACAGGTGAAATGCTCAAAGCAAGCCAGAGCTGTACCCACGTTTAAATAGTATCTTAACATTTGTATTGTTGTACATGTATTTTAATGTATCCTCACATCGTGTTATGGGGTTTTATGTAACTGAATGTTGTACATTTTGATTTTGATACGCACATTGGCTGACTCTAAGTTATAAGGCTCTTTCAGGCTTGATTCCTTTATATTTGTGAGCTTTATTACGGAGAACCAGGAGTCGCTATGCCCTGCGTTCTTGTACCACACTTGTTCTATCTGTTCCTCGGGTAAGGACTGAATTAGGAAAAAGAGATTTCAGCTTTGCTTCCCCCCTCGGCATGGAAAACTCTACAGACTGAACTAAAACTCCCTGAACTTATTCCACATGGAGCTTTCCGTTCTCCCTCGAGGGACAGACGGCGTGAGACCTTTGAACAGCACCTGTGTTTTTAAAATCTTAAATTATTTGTTTTTTTGTTGCGTCACAGCTCACACACTTTCTTTCCGTTATTGAAAACACTTTGTTTGTTAATCTGTCACTTCATTGTCACATGTTGCTGCTGACCTCTTGGCCAGGTCACCCCCCCCCCCCCCTTTGTGAAAGAGATCCTGACCTCAGTGGGTTCTTTATCTGGTTAAATAAAGGTTAAATAAAAAAAAACACTTTAATCTGTTTGTTTACACAAAGGCCCAACTGGGGACACGAGTTGGAAATTAGCAATATCTAAAAACTCTGTGCAGAACATCAGTTTCATGCTTTGTATTTAAATTATGTTAAATTGCATTTTCCATATTTAAAATAAATAAATTTAAATTAATAAAACTGGAAACAACACCTTCCTGTTAGTATGACTTAATTGTCTATGTACTGTCAAATATTAATTGGAGTTCAAACTATTTTAAATCTTTGTTGTTCATAGTCTCACCTCTCTCTGTTAGCAGCTAGATGCTAACTAAAATGATAAATATGACAGCAAAGAGCAAGTTAGCCTCCCCGCTTTAACACGTCTTCATCTGAGAATCCGTTTAAATTGTGTTTAAAAAAACCCACTTAGGTCTTTAATCAAAGATTTACGTTTATTTAGGTGAATTTGATGCTAACTAATTAGCTAACGTTAGCTTAGCTGCTCCTGTCACATCTCTCTGAATGCTCCGCTGTCAGCTGCTAAGGCGTTCACTTTCTTACTTTAGAAAAGCACATGTCGACTGTTAGTACGTGATATGTGCCTTGTGGTTAGAGCTACGTACTTGGCGGCGAGATCTTTGTGAGATCCAGTTGAATTCATCAGCTGTGCTAGCTCCTGCCGCACTTCGGTCGCCATCGTCGCTCGTCGGAGTGTCAACAACTTCGACTTCCGGTGCCAAGAGGGGCGCGAGACTTCGGATCTGTGCCCGGCAGCGCGCGGAGCTCCATCGGTCGCCTTGACAACTAGTTTGTGGTACTCGTACTTCAATCTGTCTTCTCAATCCATTTAATACAAATACATTAAAACAAGGCAAAGAAAATGTTTTATTTTTTATTTTTTTTAATCTTTTTGACTTGTTACTTTACAAATTAGAACTTAAAGCACACCACAAGTACAAGAAAATAAAAAATGTACATAAACAGGCAACATTTATGTACAAGTACTTTCTACAAGATAAAATCACCGTTCTAATTTTATGAATTTATATTATTTTAACTACTCAACTTATTACATGTGTTACATCTTAAAACAGCCCCTGTCAACTCAACCATCTCTATGTTTCTGTTGACCCGCACGAAAATCTAAAAGAACCCTGCAGAGATCAAACTATTATGGAAGCCCATTTCCGCCGGTGAAAAAAATAAAATAATAATAAAGTCTCATAATTTCAACTTTCTATCTCATTATTTTAACTTATCTCATTATTATGACTTTATATCTCATAATTTTAACTTTTTATCTCATTATTATGACTTTATATCTCATCATTATGACTTTTTATCTCATAATTTTGACTTTATATCTCATAATTTTGACTTTATATCTCATAATTTCGACTTTATATCTCATAATTTTGACTTTATAGCTCATCATTTCGACTTTATATCTCATAATTTTGACTTTATATCTCATAATTTTGACTTTATATCTCATAATTTCGACTTTATATCTCATAATTTTGACTTTATAGCTCATCATTTCGACTTTATATCTCATAATTTTGACTTTATATCTCATAATTTTGACTTTTTATCTCATAATTTTGACTTTTTTATCTCATTATTATGACTTTATTATGACTTTTGTTTTTAACTGGCGTAAATGGGCTTCCATAAACTATAGCCTAGCCATACATACAGTTTAAAAAAAAATAGACACACCAAGAACATTTAAATAAACCCGCGCAGGGTTGCAATAATAGTTCAAACAGAACTTGCCATCATTAAATTCCGATTCACAGTAATGCACAAGTCACAATAATGCAAGGATATTATACTTCTTAACCATGAATGTCATTTAGATGGGAGATTTGAACTAGTATTGGGGTATTTACAGTGTGATATGACTTTTTCTTGGGCTTTAATTCGTTCCTTTTTACTCTTTTACTTTCTTAATAGAACTGACTGGAGCATATCAGTCACTGAGCTTTTCCCTGATTTATTAAATACAGTTAATGTCAACATTAGCAGCCTTTTATCTTCAGAAAGTAAAATAGGCCAACTATATAGGCTAGGTTTACTTTTGTAATAATAATAATAATGTATCCTTTATTAAGGAAGCGTTTTTTATTCTTATTTTAGAGATTTATTTTGTTGTGAAAGTAATACAAAATACGGCTCTTGCCTTCGGATAACTTTCTAATTAAAAAAAAAACGTATTTTTCATTTATTTTTTATTCATCCTTTATCCGAACCATGTCTCCTCTGATCCGCCGAACTCTAAAAATGATGTGCTGCGCCTTTAAGAAATACGCAGTAGTGACGTAGGGCGCGGAGGGCGTGGTCGACTTGTGAAATGTCAGGGAGGAATGGCGCTCGGCGCGGTATTTTGAACAATCGCCTATTCCTTTCCGCGTATTATCTGGAAACGTTGGCCGGCGTGAAACCCTCGGGTAAGCACAAGTTTGTTCGCTTACTCCGCGATTCATAGCAGCGCGTTAAAAAGGGACGCTTAGCACTATAATGTGATCAAATGTTGAGGTATAATGTTGTGCTAGCTAGCCTGGGTTAGCGAGCTCAGCAAGTTTGCTAGTACAGTTGTCCTGCCCGCTGGTCTGGCTTCATCATCATGATGATGATGATGATAACGATAACAATGGGTAAGGTTAAGACAGCAATGACGAGCAAAAATGGGTTTGATACTCTCTGTAATGAGGGTCAGCAGTTAGAGTTAAATTTATAAAGTTTAGGGCGTACTTACAGAGAATAACATATGGTTGACCCAGCAGCTCAGTGTACACACAGCGTCCGCAAACAGCAGTAAAAACATATTAAAAGGAACATAGAGACACGTATAGGTCATTACGGTGGTGCGTTTACTTCTCCTTTGGTAAATGCTGACATGATATATAAAAACCAGCAGGGAATTTGGTTGTAGTTGTAGCTTAAAACGTCCTTCTGTATTTGACATTGTCTGAAAACGGGGCTTTTAAGTTTTTTTTGACTGATTTTTAAAAAATAAATAAAAATAGGACTTCAGAATATGCCGTTTATGTTGCCGTTTATATTTGGAAAAGGCCAACTAACTTGGCTCATTGCTGCAAAAACATGAGCTAATGCTGCATTCAAGTTCTCCTCTGATGGTCGGTGTTCCCAAGTTGGGAAGTTTTTTTTGTTTGTTTGTTTTTTTTTTTAACTTCTCTTTATTGTTTTTTTTTTTCTTTTTTTAAATACAGATAAAAAAAACAACAATCTGAGACATTTTTATTCACACCTCAAACCAACACAAAAAAACTCAATGATACTAAATAAATAAAAGATAAGATGTAAAAAACACATAAAATACCAAAATAATACAATTTAAATAGTAATAATAATACAACTTGGAGGATGTCTAGTGCTCTGGATTTTACTAAATTATATTTTTTCCCTGGGTTGTTTTTGTTAGAGTAGTCTATAAATGAGTCACTGACTTTGGTTTGTTAATGAGATTTAAGTCGTTCCTTCAATCTAAACACACTCAACACTGACTCAATAAATAAGCTTAAATATGTGTTTTCTTTGTTGAATTATACTAGGTGACTTTTCTTTGACAGGAACTAATGGTTCGAACTTAAAACTGTATTAAATCGACAATATAGCCAAATAAATTCATGTGCAATACGTAAATTGTGGGGAAAAAAAGACCAATATTTTATTTTGTACATTAGGTAATTTGTTTTTTGACATTAATGTTTAATAACATTTACCTAGTTGTTGTCATTCCTTGGCAACATACCCTTAATAACTTAACACGGTATAATCTTTTTTGTTTTTAATCTTTGTAATAGAATAAATAGTGTCATGATTCTAATAATACTGCATGTACACTATATTTAAAAATAAATGTGCCTTTTCTAAAAAATTTTTAATTTGTTTAAATAAAGATCTATATGAAAATAGCAATAGGAGGAATTATTTAAAGCTATCATTGTTTACGTTGTCAGTCTGCTAAAATAGTTAGGTTCCTGCTAGTTGCACTTAAGATCGCACCAGCCTTTATTATCTTACTATATCATTTATCTATACTTCTTTACGGGCTATTAATGCGTGCAAAAGTGTCTTAGGGTTAATGTTAATAATAATATTAAATACATCCTTTAGTCTCTGCAGCTAGGTGTTAGCCGGGGCGCTAGCAGAGTTGATGACGAGGTAAAAATGGCGGATCTTTCGAAATCCAACCCCGGCCTGAAATAGTAACGCAGCCAGCAAACAGCTTTGTCGCTTCTTTTCTTTTTGTTTGTTTTTGCACTCTTAACCCGAACCAGGACCCCTTTTACTTTAGTGCAGGTTAAGACAGACATGTGTGCAGTTGTGTTTCTGTTGGTCGCTTTGTTCCTGTGTGTGTGTGTGTGTGTGTGTGTGTGTGTGTGTGTGTGTGTGTGTGTGTGTGTGTGTGTGTGTGTGTGTGTGTGTGTGTGTGTGTGTGTGTGTGTGTGTGTGTGTGTGTGTGTGTGTGTGTGTGTGTGTGTGTGTGTGTGTGTGTGTGTGTGTGAGCTAACCCTGCATCAGCTGTCAGTCTGTGTCAAGATGAGTACAGCCTCAGCGTGACTCTTAGTAACCCCCCCCCTTTATATTGATTAACACTCACATGTTTACTAAATAAAACTTGTTATTGGGAACAGCTCTCTCTAAACGTGAATATGGCTAACTCCTTAGCTTTTCTTGCATTGTTTGTTTATTTAGCAAGCATACTGACTGGTGGAGAGCAATACATCAGGAAGTGAGTAACTTATCTCTGTCAGGGACTTTTGTTCAAGACAGTAACAAAGTCAAAATATGTAATTGCTTCCTCTCAACATGTGTTGCTGTGGAATATCTTACATATATTTTAAATGTAAAAAAAATATATATATTTTTCTGCTTATGGAGTTTCTTGAGTTAAATGTAGGTAAAATTCAGCAAAACTAAGGACTATGGTTAGGGCACAGAGTAACCTGGATTAAATACAATCTATTTTGTTACAGTAAATCAGCTGAAGTGTATATGCGCATATGTTTTTTATTATTTTTTATTTATCTTTTCCATTTCATTAAACTCTGTACTTGCTGTCAGACTGACCAATATATTTTAATGTATAATGTTTGTTATAATAATTGATGAAACCCCAATAAAATAATGTATGTAAATGTTTAGATTAAAATGACATACAGAACAACTTAATTTCCACAAAAAACATCCCTTCTTCCTCTACAGGGGGTCAGAGGCTAAGAAGAATCACAACAAATTGTAGATAGATACTCTTTGTTGTCATTGTTTAAAAGAACACAACAAAACTTTGTTAGCATAACATAGATCCGAAAACGATGTGTTGTTGTTGTTTTTAAAAAAAAGATTTTGTTTAAAGTGTGTTCCTGTCTGTATTGTTGTCAACAGCTTTTGTCACTTGTGTTTTTCAAGGCAACCTCTCATAGGGGCAATCAAGCTTTTCCATTCATTTACAAAGAAAACTCATTGTTTGTTGTTTTTTTGGGTTTCACCAGAGAGCTGAGACTTTGCATCATGGATGTGGTGTCACCAGAGCTCAACAGCCTCCTTCCTGATGAGATCATGGACACTGAGGCCATCGAGGACATCCCTCAGTCCCAACCTGACAGCACCACGGCCAGGCCAGAGCCCAGCGCGGACACGTCAGTCCCGATGGAGACGGATACACCTGTGGCGGCTTCAGAAAATCTCAGCCTCTGTTTGGATACTTCTTCAACAGGACACACGCAGGCTGTGACCACGTCCCTCA